TATACCGGTGGGGGACCCTACCCCTCCTCGTTTCGTGGCGACCGAGGGCGCGCGAGAGCGAGGGAGAGCGAGAGCGAGAGGGGGAAGAAGTGGCCACAAAAAAAAGGGGGCCCGAAGGCCCCCAGTCCAAAATTTGCCAGAAAGTTAATTCTGGAAGTTTCTCATACCAATAAAGTACAGAAACTGTATCTAGAATAGCGTTAGTTGAAAGTCCACCTCCGCGCGGTGTCGGAACGAGGGGGGAATTTTAGACATATGGTGGACTTACAGGGGAATATTTTGGAGTTAATTTATCATAGTATTTCATTTTCCCTTTAATGTTGGAAAATAGCATTTATTTTGATTCAGTTTTTTTTGTTATTTTTTTTGCATAAATTGCTTTAGTGACGTTTTTTCTATTTTGTATAGTGATCGAAGCAGTGTTATTAGCAGATTTTATAAACTAAATGTTTTTATCTTATACGCATTTGAATCTTTAAAGATTTAGAAAAACAACTTTTTTGCTGATTTTTGTATTATTTATTCTTCCATATAAGAACTTTCGCACTGTGTTATTGCTTCTGCAATAAGTATTTTTAACTCTTGAAGTTTCAAGCTGTGATCACGAAGCGTTTGGCGTATTTGTGCTGCATCATGGAGTAGATCTAACCATTTTTGTCGTGAACATTCCGCGTCTTCTTTTGGAGGGCTCGTTAAAGGAGACGTCATAGGTGAGGTATGATGATATCTTTGTCTATCGTGTTATCGCTTTGTTTAAGCACTGACTTGAAGGGGAAAAAAAAGTGATGGGAAGGACCCAAGGTGTAATTTCTAAATGTCACTAGAATACAAGTCTGAGGGAATCCATTTTAGCTTTCTTTCTCTGTAGGTGTGCATACGAGAGCAACCTTATGTGAATAAGTTGATAATTAAAGACTCGGTGTAATATTTTTTTTTTGGAAAATAATATTCTTTGGCATTGTAGTAGAAGCCATAATATTAAATATGGGAAGGAAGAGAGGGAACACAGTTCACTGGCATTAACGTTTACAAGAGGAATAAATTCCTCCCAAAAATCCAAAGAGCATTGACTTTTACCTCCTTACGTAACATGTTCGGGTAGTGATTGATTGTAACGAAGACAGGTTCATGGAGTGTTAAACATTTTTTTTCGCAAACGAGTATGCACGTGTTTGGGCACTGCTCTGATTGCCCACAGATCGTGCACGTCAATATAACCATTCATGAAAGAAGATGATGAGTGCATATTTCCGAAAACGTGCATCATACCACTGATAGTACAAGATATCTCCTCTTTTCATCTCAAAAACAACAACCGCGATTTACCACTCGTTCTTCAGCTATCAGCAATGGCCTTGATTTCAGCATCACTGAGGCCGGTGTCCTTGCTTAAGGGGTGGTTCTCGAGCACCATCATACGGTCGTTTTCGATTTTTAGTTTCACTTTCTCGCCTTCGCGGATACGACCATCTAGCAGCATAATCGCCAGATGGTTGAGCAATTCTACCTGCACCAACCGCTTCAACGGTCGGGCGCCGTACACAACACTGTAACCGTGTGTGGCGAACCAATCAAAAACGGAGTTTGGTATTTCCAGTGTGATGTTCTGCTCTGTCAGCATGGTTTCAATTTGCTTGAATAGCAGCTCGACAATAGCGCGAATATCGCTTCGGCTGAGACGATTAAACATAATAATATCATCCAAGCGGTTAATGAACTCCGGCGTCATGCGCTGCCGCACCATCTGCATCACCATTGGCATCGCATTAATACTGGGCTCCCCCTCCGGCAGCGTCGAGATCACATCCGCGCCGATATTCGAGGTCAGGATGATGATGGTATTTTTGAAGTCCACCTTGCGGCCGTGGCTGTCGGTTAGATGCCCCTCGTCCAAGACCTGTAGCAGGATATTCGACACGCTCGGGTGCGCCTTTTCGAATTCGTCGAAGAGGACGATTTGGTAGGGTCGTCGCCGGACCGACTCCGTGAGCTCGCCGCCCTCGTCGTAGCCGACGTAGCCTGGCGGGGCGCCGATCAGGCGGTGTACCGTATGCCGCTCCATATACTCGCTCATGTCGATCCGACAGATAAACGACTCGTCGTCGAAGAGAAACCTCGCCAGACATTTGCAGATCTCCGTCTTGCCGACGCCGGTGGGGCCGAGAAACAAGAACGACCCTAACGGCCGCTTGTGCGAGTGCAGCCCCGCGCGGGAGATGCGCACGACGTTCGTGATGCTCTCAATCGCCTGATCTTGGCCCCGGATGTACTTTTTGAGCTCCTCGTCCATGTGGATGAGCTTCTCGCGTTCACCTGTCATGATGCGAGATACCGGGATGCCCGTTGCGCGGGCGATCACCTCCGCGATATCGGTCGACGTTACCGAGTCGTGCACCATGAAATTCTTCGACTTCGCCAACTCCTTATCGCGCTCGATCTCCTTCTTGAGTTGGGGGATTTTGCTGTGTTGGATTTCCCCCGCCTTCGCGAAGTCGCCAGCGCTCATCGCCTGCTCTAGATGATACCGCAGCACGTCCAGATCCTCCGTGCGCTGTTTGATCGTCTGGAAGAGGGCCTTCTCCCGCTTCCAGCGCGCCTCGAGGGCGTCGTATTCCGCCTGTTTCGCCTCGATCTGCTCGTAGAGGTGGTTGAGCTTCTCCTTTCCGACCTCGTCCTTGTCCTTCTTGACGGCCTCGATCTCAATTTTGAGCCGAATCAGCTCCCGCTCCACCACATCCAGCATCTCCGGCTTCGATTCCTGTTGCATCCGCAGCCGACTCGCGGCCTCATCGATCAGATCGATCGCCTTATCGGGCAGGCGACGCTCGGAGAGGTAACGGTGCGAGTTCACCGCCGCGTAGACGAGGGCCTCGTCTTTGATCAGACAACCGTGATGGGCCTCGTACTTTTCTTTGATTCCACGCAAAATGGAAACGGTCTCCTCCACCGTGGGTTCGGTTACGAGGACGGATTGGAAGCGCCGGGCGAGGGCGGCGTCCTTCTCGATGTGCTTGCGATACTCGTCGAGGGTGGTGGCGCCGACGCAGTGCAGATCCCCGCGCGCGAGGGAGGGTTTGAGCAGGTTCGCCGCGTCCATGCTGCCATCCCCTGAGGAGCCCGCCCCCACGAGCATGTGCAGTTCGTCAATAAACAAAATCACCTTGCCTTGGCTTTCGGTGGTATCCTTGAGGACGCCTTTGAGGCGCTCCTCGAACTCGCCGCGGTACTTCGAGCCGGCGACGAGGCTCCCCATATCCAACGCGTACACCTTCTTCTGCTTGATGCTCTCGGGGACCTCGCCTTTGACGATGCGTTGCGCTAGCCCTTCTACAATCGCGGTTTTACCAACCCCGGGCTCGCCAATCAACACGGGATTGTTCTTCGTTCGCCGCGAGAGCACTTGAATCGTCCGTCGGATGATCTCCTCCCGGCCGACGATAGGGTCTAATCTGCCTTGACGAGCCTCCTCGTTCAAATCGCGTGCGTATTTCTTCAAAAACTCCCCGGGCGGTACGGCCTGCGGGTTCACCCAGGCCCGCCCCTGCTGCTGCCCTCCACCGTTGTTGTTGTCGCTGTTGTTTCCACCGCCGCCGCTACTCCACGGCGTTATACCCGACGATTGAAAGCGCCGCCCACCACAGAGTGCGAGGGATGGCGATAAAAATGGGGCGATTGGTGGTTCAGAGTTCGAGAGCAGACTTAACCGCAGCGCGCCGAATCGGCCTCCGCGTGGGATTAGCGAGGAAGGCGAGCTTGGAAGCGTGAGGGTTGAAACCACGGGGGCTCGAATCGAGCGAGCCATCGGATCCTTGGCGAACTTTCGAGAATAACGAAGCATTTTTTAACCCTTGAGATAGATTCACCTTTGGTTGTACAATATGTTCGAGGTACTGTTCAAGCAAAGTTCGATAACTCACTTGTGTTGGGAGCGTTTTAGAATAATAAATATACTTTATAACGTTTATGATTCGCCGGTTGTCTGTAAATAATGGAAGATAAATAGTTTAAATAATGAAAACACGTGTACCACAACTTACAATAATAGTAAAATAAGTTATATCCCCCTTCAAAAAAGAAAAAAAAACGTGTACCCCCTTTAAAATAGATATCGCGTAAAATGTAGTAGGATATATTTCACTTGTAAGAAAGCTTCTTTGTTGGAAAACCTAATTCGTGGATGTTTTTCTTGAAATAAACGCAAATTCACCCCACCCCACCCCCACCACAAACATATGAGAGGCAAGTAGGTAAAGAGATTTAAATTCGTTTGGTTCATATAGTAATCTGGATATTTAACCCCAAGTGAAGATCCATTCAATAGGGGGGGAGGAAGACAAGCTAGCAACCTCGGCGTCCCCCAAGAAAGGAACAAAGAAGTCATATTCTTTCACTACACGCCTCTACCTTTTTTTTTTTTGGTTTGTTGTTGTTGGTTTGTAAATCGCAAAGTGTATCAGTGATGTTTTGCGCACCCGTACTAACGTGGTGCCCTTATGTACATAATCTTAACCACGGCAACCTCAGCCGTAGCGGGAAAATTATCAAAGAGTGTTCCATATCATGCCATGATACCTCACAAACAGCACATCCGCGCCTCGACGCAGACGAAGAATAGATTCCACAAGCCCCCGTTTTTCTCTCCTCTTGGCCTTTGCTTTGGGTGATTTTCGACCACCCGCCAGACGAGGCGGCATCTCCGCGAGAGGGG